AGCACAGGAGAGACTCCAGGATGGAAATAGTCATAGGTTGTATTGCCTGGTGTGGGGAGACGGCTTGGGCTCTGGAAGGGACGTGCTGACCTAATATTTCAAAAATGTCATTTGAGGAGCTGTTCAAGACTTGCCAGCCCAGCCCAGGACTTGCTGCTTCTCTCCTTAAAGGGAGCTTCTGGCACCAGTTTACAGCAGTCGGAGGAGAATCTTCATCCTGACTGCGCTGCTGTGGGGGATCATCTGAAGGAAATACAACACAAGCACAGGGTAGTACATGATAGGGCTGGATGTGCAGCTCAGCTCTGCCCCGTGGCAGGCCTGCATTCCTGGTGGGGGTCATTCTGACCTTAGCTGAAGGGTGCTGGTGATGGAGGTGACACCCCCTCTGCGGGCAGCCTGTCGTGGTACACGGCTACCTGCACCATTTAGAAAACTTGACCTGATTCCTGACCTTGCTACTGTATATTAAAGTGGCAAACTAAAGCCTTCTGTGATCTTTGGGACCTCACTTTGTGAGAGGGCCTGTGGGTCTTGTGTGGTCAAAAGGTACCTAATGGTTGTGGCCTTCGAACAAGACTTCAGTGTGATGTCTCTGCTGGTCCCCATGCTGGCATGGAGGACGCATTCCATGAGCATTTGAAGAAGTCTCCGTCTCTGTGCAGCAGCAGAATTGTTGCCTGAAGGCTTTCCATGCTTGTTACAGCTGTTATTGTGACATATTTCACTGTAAAGGCCCTTGGTGCCTCAGCACAGGGCAGACTTGTTCTCAGAGACAGAAAGGGGAAGCGAGATGAGGTGGGCTGAGAGCAGTGTCATCATTTTTAACCTGGGAACTGCAACAGATGAAGCTGGAAAGTCACTCTTCTGGGTAGCCTGTAGCAAGATCAGGAAATGAAGCTGGATTTGCTGGGGCCCAAGGCCTTTCAACCTCCCTGTCCTTCCTCATAGGAATATTTCTAGTTTCTATCCAAATGGAAGGACCGAGCAGTAAACTAGATTTGCAGGGTTTTATTTTTCAAACAGTACTTTGAAATACTTTATTGAATGGCAAAAATAATTGCATTTGCTCACCTCCCACTCCCACATGCAGTACAGACAGATTTTCTCTACAATCGTGTTCCTTTCAAAATGGTGTTTTGTACCGTGCTCTGCTCAGCGCTTGTCTGGGAAACACGTGCAGCCATTTGATAAATACATTGTAAAATACACTGTGGAAGTGGCGGTCTGCCTGCGACAGAGGAATAGCTACAGGGAAAAATGGTAAATAAGATACGTGTAAGTAAATTAATTTTGCTCATATAAGCCTGTTTATGCCTTTTTAGTTCATGCCTCCAGCATAATCCTCTGATCTACAGCAGGTGTTCAGTGTTGTGGAGAATCAGGCTGTTGACTGTCTGAGGAGTGTCAGGTCCAAAGTTATGCAGAAGCTTGTGGAAGGTAGTGGTGTTTCACTGTGATTTCCCATCGCAAGGTGCAGTTGTGTTACAGCCTGACGAATGGCAAATCCACCGTTGATTTTGCCTTGCAGAAATAAATAATTGCCTTTTACTGTGCAAAAAAAATCAGTACAAAACTGGTCTGTGCATAACTGACTTGCTTAGTCAGAAACCATTGCTTTCCAATATACTTTTGGAAGATTTATCAGTGAAAAGGAATTCTTCAAAACAACAGAATCTAAACCAGAACTCAGCTCTACAGATAATAATTTTCTTAAGACTTGCTGGATTTTTTTAGCATAGTTTTAGCAGCACTTTACTTGTTGTGATGCTGTATGGGTCTATTTGTTTTGATTGGGTGAACTGATTTATGGGGTTTATCTCAAATAGATAAGCTGTAAATTAGCTGAAGATTTATTTTGCAGCCTGAAGCGTGGGTTAGAGCTGTGCAAGCGTGCTTCTGCTTTTGAGGGTGTGACACCCTGGGGTGCCTGGTCTCAGCACTGGTGAGGCCACACCTCAAATCCTGTCTTTTGTTTTGACTCCCTCACTCCAAGAAGGACATTGAGGGGCTGGAGTGTGTCCAGAGAAGGGCAATGGAGCTGATGAAGGGGCTGGAGCACAAGATTTATGAGGAGCAGCTGAGGCAGCTGGGGGTGTTTGGCCTGGAGAAAAGGAGACTGAGGGGAGACCTCATCACCCTCTGCAGCTCCCTGAAAGGAGGTGGTATAGCATGGGGGATGTCAGTCACTTCTCCTATGTAACAAGTGATAGGTCTAGAGGAAATGGCCTCCAGTTGTACCAGAACTAGATTGGAGATTGGGAAAAATGTCTCTATCGAAAGAGAAAGTTCCAAACATTGGAACAGGCCGCCCAGGGAAACGGAGTCACCATCCCTGGAGGTATTTAAAAGATGTGGCACTTGGGGAGATGGTTTAGTGGTGGACTTGGCAGTGCTAGGGTAATGGTTGGACTAGATGATCTTAGAGGTCTTTTCCAACCTAAACAATTAATTAAACAATTTGATGACTCTAAGAAGGTGGGGAAGCTGCAGACTTCAGCTGCAGGTTTGTTTTCCTCTTGATGCACCCTAGGAGTGAGGTGAGATGTGCCTGTCCAGAAGCTAAAGCTGCTGCAAGGAAAGGCATTGGGTTTGTTTCTCTTGTAGGCAGAAGAGCAAAGCCAAGTTTTTAACACAGGGTGGAATTGGAGGATTCCCCCTATGCCATATGCAAGCTGGATTAAATGGTGAAAGTGTTTTTCCTCCCTCCTTTCCTTCATTTAAAATCGTTTCCCTGATGGAAAGGGAAAACGCAGGCTGGAGACTGAGCCAAGCCCTGGCCACGTGGAGGTCAGCTGCTGCTGATGGAGATGTGGACTGGTGCTTCCCTGGCCATGCAGAGCAGCCTGGAAAAGCTGCTGCCCTATAGGCAGGGCTGGAGCCTTGTTTGCACTTCTCAGGGGCCGAGGCGCTGACCCTCACCCAGAGCCGAGCATGCAGGCATCCCATGAGGAGTCCTTGCATGTGTCAGGTCAGGAGATGTGCTGCTCCGCAGGCTCTGGAGTGCAAGGAAAGCCTCTTCAGAGAGAACTCAGTGGCTGCAGACTTGCAGTTGCCCTGACCCAATACTCCCAGGTCAGCTCAAAGCTTTGCAAATGCAGACCTCGCACAAGCATTTTGCAGACAGCAGCCCCTCTGCGGGCTTCCTGTGAATCCATTTGGAAGGACAAGATCATTGCAGCTGGCTGTCCAGCTTGAAGCTGGGATGTGTGGGAGCAGGGAGGTCTAGCGGAGCGGACCCCTGTGCTGCTTTGCCTCTTGGTTTATAGGACCATGTGCAGTGTGTGCTGGACAAACCCTGCACCCCTTCCCTTGCTGCTGAGAGCCACCCCCAGGACCTGCATCCTGGCTCGGAAAGGGATTTGTGCTTTGGGATTGAAGGGTTTAAATATAGTCTTAATAGAAGCTTTTAAAGCTGATCTCACCATTTCATTACCTTTTTGAGTGAGTGACACTTCTATCAATTTGTTTCAAACAAGCCTGCAGAAAAGGTAGGAGAAGAGGGGAAGGTTATACCCGAGAAGAGGAGGAGGTGAACAGCGGGCTGTGGGAGGAACACGTCTGTGACACCGAGTGC